CAATTGTTACTGAAATTTAATTACTGATAGTTGATAGAAAGTTTATCTGTATAGAATGTGTTCATTTTTAGGACATTTTGTTTGCAGAATTCTATCAGAGAATAATAAAATAATTCGTTATAGAGTAATAAAATTGATAACCTATTTGGAGAGTAATAAAATTGGTGAAAATTGTTACTTATTAAGCTGCATCAGCATATATTTTAATATTTTGACTGTTGGTGTCACATAATTTTATGAATTATTTATTTTAGTTTCAGTTTACAAACTAATTTCTTCAATTCCAAATTAAATATAAAATGAAATCTGTTTCTTCATATTTTTATAACGATATTTTAACAAATGGACGGATAAACACAGATTAGTATAATAAAGATTTGCATTCCAAAAAATTAACGACTATTCAAAATTTGCATGATGAAGAATCTCTATGACAACATGTTTTGAAATAAAATATCGTTTATTAATACTATTTTATATTTCATTCAATTACCACTTTGCCAGGAAATTTGTATTAATATTACTCTTGGCAGTGAAAAACTGTAGAATATAATATTAAGACAATAGTAACAAATACTCTTTGTTCCTTTGGAGGATATGTATAATAATTGCAAAAATATAGCGTGGCCGTAAATCTCAACGACATGTCAACACATACTTTCTTCACACTTGTTTCAAAAGATTAAAAATCCTGAGTGTGAGCTCTTTCCAAATATTCCAAATGAATAATAACTTAGTAAATTAGATAATCAGCTTATTTTACTATTAATAGTTGGTTATATTCAACGTAAACTAATTTGAACACTAAACATTTTCTTAACATTGAACAAGTGAAGACTATAAGTAACTGGAGTACAGATAAATGAAGTATAATTAAATGAACTACATGTAAATGAACTACAAGTAAATGGACTACAAGTAAATGGACTTCAAATGCAAAAACAGTTTATTAACGAACATGAACTACAAAAACTGCATATAAACTTTAAATAAAAAAATCACAGTCTGATTTATCTGATCATCAACTAAAAAACTTGTAGTTTTTTCTTGTTTTTCGTTTGTAACAACATAACCGCAATACAATCGTACATATGTAACCCTAAGGGGATATTAATCACCACAATACCTTTGGTATCGGAAAATATTTACGGTTGAACAAACCGCTGACATTTACGACCACGCTATATATCTGCGGGCTACTATATCTTCACGCTCCGCGCTGATGTTGCCACTATTGCGTTACGTGCTCAACACGAGTTCGTTTTCCTTCCTGCAGCGGACGAGGGGCCAAAACGCGTGATAGAATACTAAAAACAGTACACTGGAACCATGCTCGTACTAACAGTATAATATTTCGATAAAAAGAGACGCGAGCGAACACGTAGCCGCGTAATCGTCGGTTTCGATTACATCGAGATCGTTAGAACGAGCTCGCGATCGTCGAGACACGATCGTGCTGTAATTATTGGGTATAGTGAAATACGAGGATCTGGATGGAGAGCATCGAATGCAGATGTTGGCCTGCACGAAATCGATTTGCTCGATATTAACGCTGACTGCTGCGATGAAAATGATGTACTGCAACACGTTCTTGAATTATTGTACTGTCATCTTAGATTTCAGTTTGATAATTTCTACTGCTGCTTCTTTTTATTATTGAAGTATTAACGTTCAGTGGATGAACTGGCTTTTACTGATCTTTTTGGGTTGGATTTTTGTATTAGGTACCAGAGATCAAATAATTTCTTTTTATTTAAATTACATTTTTTAAATCCAACGCCATCTTTTTTCTTTTACAATAGAATCTTTCGAATAAAAATTTGACGAAGCGTAACCCGAAGTTCCACATAGAAAATCGCTAATGGCAGTCAGCGCGACAATCGCGCAAACCTTTTCGCACCTAACTATAAATTTCCAGAAAAGCAAACTTTCTTCAGCAACTGCGTTTTCGCTCGCATCATCCATTCTCACCTTACAACTCTCTTCGAGGAAATACTGGCCTTTCCTAGTAGAACAAACAAGTACGAATCAAGATGGAGTCGAATGTCAAACCAAGTTATAAATTTATGATATCCAGGTCTCTGTGCGCCTATGTTAAGCATTATCTAGATAAAAAGTTATCTGAATAACGATTCGAATAATAGGTACAATATATTCCTCAAAACATTGCTTCACAATAATTTAAAATGATTAACAAATGTATTGGACGTTGAAAGAATAACGTGGAATGATGTGTGTTAACACGAGTTAATATGTGAGATTTTCGTATAAATTCACGTTTATCAATGCTTGTTAAGATGTGACTTAAAATCATATTTGTTGAGATTGAGATCTAACATCTTAATGTTAAGATATGTTAAGACATTTTAACATAGAAATAAATTTGTTAAGATAGGAGATCTCAACATTAAATCAAATTTGTTAAGATGTCTTAATATATGAAACCTCAAGGTAAAATCAAATTTTACGATATGTTAACACGTGACATCTAAATATAAAATCATATTCACTGAGATCTGACTTCAGAAAAAATTGTTAAATCTAAGATGTGATATCTTAATACAAAATGACATATGTTAATATATGTTACAATGTGAGATCTTCGTATAAAGTCATATTTATTAATATGTATTAAGATGCGACATCTTCATATAACATCACATATAAACATGTGACATCTTAACATAAAATGTGACACTAAACATAAAATTTGTTAAGATGTAAAATCACATTAGTCAAAATATATTAAGATCTCGATGAATGTGACTTTAACCATTGTACTTAATTTTTCAACAAGTTTGCGAACCAATACTTTGCTATCTGACATACTCCAACTAGAATAAATCAGTTTCGAATGAAAGATATTTTCAAAAGATCGTTATCAATTATTCGAAAAGTTATCGTATAATATTTTTATCTGGATAATGTATAATTCTGGTAAAGTAGCCGAGTATTATAAATTTACAGTTCAAATATCGACATACGTTTTCGATTTGTATCGACCACTGTAACGCTTCGCTCTAGGTGTACCTAGCAAAATAAGAAAGAAAAAGCACGATAAAAGATAAAAGCGTAATCGGTGCGCGATTACAGCGTGGTTCGATCTCGTCCGAGACGAGGATCGACATTACGCGAGACAAAGAGGCTTCGGACGAAACAATACTCGACCAATAATCGTAATTCGTAAGTTAAGTTCACACCGAGAGAGTCACTCATCTCGCAGACGTGCAAACACTTACGTACAAACGTCCCCATAAACCCGTATGATTGTAACCGAAACTTTCCACTTTTTATTCGTCGAGGCTCGTTGGACGAATTGTGTACCACGAGACTTAGAACAACGTGTACACCTAGCGTTTCCTTTCTTTCCTACTTCATTTTCTTTTCTCGATCAGTAACGTTCGTTTATCGGCACAATTTACTGCAACAGGTGTGTACATAATCAAGTAAACTTCAGCACCATGTCCGTTTGATGTGATGTAATTAAGTAACGTAATGAAGACAAAGAACGGGAGAATATATATTAATATAAATACAGATATGAAGTATAAATACACCTCGTCTATAATTAGTATTGTATTCTGCATAAATTTACCGAGAAATAAAAAATACTCGATTAGTTATTGTTGTTTCGATTTATACCTTTCTGTTATCATTTACTAAGGCGCCATTTTGATACGAGTCGTTTTGAAGTGGTGGAATATTTAAATAATCGTGCAATGATTGCATGAAGTTATGAAAGGTAGATCAATAGAATGATATAATATAAAAAAAGAGAAATAGATTAGTAGAGATAAAGTAGTAGATATAGAATAATAGATTTGATAATAGAACAATAGAAGAAGAACAATAGAATGATAATCAAACATAGAATAAACAACACAATTTTAAAATTGCATAATAAATAACAATATAATAAAAGTTGTAGAATATCAGGATAAACTAATCAAATGATAAAATGGTAAAAATAATAAAAATATCAAAACGGTAGAATAAAAATATTGCAAAAAAGCAAAATAACAATGTAACAGAATAATGAAGTACTAAATTATAAAATATTACAATGATACAAAAACTAGAACATCAAACAGTGAAATAGTAAAATGGTAAAATATTGTACGTACTTTTTAAATCTTCCAAAACAAACTTTTCCAAGAAATAATTTTTCACATTACCACTTATTCAACATTTTTAATCGATACGGTATCTATTGACGTATTTCTAGATAAACAGCATACCTTCAAGTTAATAACATTTGTCATTCGAAAATTACTGATGGACAATAAAATGAATATATTTGTATTTTATTATTTATTCATGTTTCTCCTTTACTTTTAATTTTGAATTAAGTACAGATTATTTGTTGGTAGATTTAATGTTAAAATATCGGAGATATCTACTACCTGTATGTACCTATATGTGGTTAAGTACAGGTATCCATAAATATGCGTTTACGTACATAGGTGGGCATACATGTATACATATGTATAATTATAGATAGGTCATTATTTTTCATTTTACATTATTTAAGAGAAGGAGAATAATATTTTGTAAGTGAAGGACAATAAATTGAGTGTAGGTGATTATTACATGTAGGTAACATGTTACACATACGCCACACATATGCGCCACAAGGTAAGTTCTGCAAACTCATAGACACAAAGTGTTTTTCAAAATGATTGATCTCAACAACCAATACAAACTACTGAAAGTATGAACAGTAGGTATTAACCTATCACCACAAACCTGTAATACCTACATTACCGATTTCCAATAAAATCATATCAACCGTCAGTAATGCACCCTCTTACCGCCAATCGGTGCATTACTAGCAGCCACTAACCTCAACTTCCGGTTTTCTATTATACCGACTCGCACCGCAAGAAGGATAAGAGAGGAAGCGTATTGATCGCAGGAAGCGCATGCGTGTGTGATAATCGGATCACATGTTGGAAGGGTAATACTAACCGAAGGAACAATCAGTGGAAGCAACTGTGCTACGTTCGCTGTGCACGGTTCGGTGGCTGAAGTGGTCGCGGTCGAAGGAGACGTTCGTGGCCAGACACGTGTTCCCCAGTGATCGTGACAAGGAAGTTAGAGAAAACCTGGTCAATCGCTTCACCGAACGGTTAAGACATTTCCTTAATTTGTTAATCGACCAACATTCGACAAACATATTGTCCATGCAACGATGTCCATCAAACTCTCCATAGAGCGAATGATTGAACTTCACATTTAAGTTGAATTAAGTTGAAAGTTGCATTTATCTGATTCTGTGTAAAATACATCACATGATTGACATGTCTGAGACATGTGATCAATTATACGTACAATTCATTTTTTATATTTTTGTTAATTTAATGTGGATTTAATCGTTGTTGAAAGGAGCTTTGACAAATTTGAAGAAGAGTAATGTTTAATTTTTTGAAAGTAAATGTTCAATTTTTTTGAAAGTGTTTAGAGAGCACGAATTGCAATGCTAATTGGCGTTTCAAATGTGAAACTGTAAATTGAGCAACGGCCCGTATGGTGCGGAATAACGCGGTATAGATAAAGCTGCATTGCAGTGATGTTACACTGGAGTGTATTCCTCGACGTGTTTTCATGCAGCTGTGAAATCCTACGATCGTTCAGTCCTCGATGCAATCGGGTTTAACGTATCGTTGATGTTAAATCGATTCGTGATTTTCTGGCACCGTTCAATCGATACTGCTCAGCCCACGTAGCTCTCTTAATCTCCTAAATGAAACAGTTTACTGTAACGGTCGTTAAATGCCTTCTGGTCGGCCGTAAACTTCAATTTTGTATGCTATTATGCTGGAGAGCATAACTGGAGGCAGGGTATAATTACTGCAGTTTTAGTAACTTTATTTTGGTATAGGAATATTGTAATATTATCACTACTGGTTATGTTATTTAACTGAAAAATAGTATTGATTAATAGTTATAATTTTAGAAATATAAATTGAAGGCATCAGGATTTATTTAGTGTGAATATGAGTAGCAATAAAGTAATATTTATTACTGATATTAGTAATAATAAAATAGAGATATTAATGTTACTAACAAATACTAATATTTTAATTCTTCTCCTTTTTTTGTTCTTTTAATTTTGCCAAACTTTTTGTAATACACCATTGTCATTACTTATAGTATTAAATATAATACTATATGACATTAATATAATATATAATATACTATTATATTAAATTTTAACTAAAATTAAAGATTTATTGAATTTTAATTAATAAAGATATACTGACAATTTAAGAGTACAAAAATTGTATTCAATTTAAATGTTGAGTTATTATATAATTAACAAAACTGAATAATGTAATATATTATTTCATATAACTCTATGGAAAATTTAAATTAAAATATATCCTATTTTCAAAATAAAAATTGATAAGGATAGTATGATATTCAAGTGCTGATGCAATTGATCGATCTTCATTTCAACGGCTTAAGACTTACATTCAAGTGAAACAGAAGCTTTAAGTTTGTCTTTAGTATTAATACATTGACTGTCACGTTTATTATCTAAACAATTATTAACACTTTACGGTTACTGTCATGTGACAGTGACTTTGACGTATGGCTCTTCACACTAGTAATCTTCACTATATACTCGCTGCCAGATATACTAATTGCAATTTTAAAATTGGTAATTTTGTACTGTGTACAATCCCCCAAAAAATTGATATAAATTTTTAAGTTGAAATTTATAAAATAATAATTAGTAAAAGATACTCAAAATATTAATTTTCAAGACTGTCTAAATTTTCCATTATTTCCTTTCATTTCTATTTATTATATTATTGTAATATAATAATGTAATAAATAATAAATAGAAATGAAAGAGGAAAATTGAAAATTTAAACATTCGCGTAATATAATATTTTCAGTAACTTTTGCTAGTTTGCTATTTGTCTTCGCTATTTTATAAATTACAATAATAATAGAAATTCTCTGTCTTCTCTCATTTTCTCGTGTATGAATTTATGGCGCAACCATAGCGAGAACCACGTTAGCAAATATGTATATGAAAGGTGTAGAAAAGGATAGAAGAATCGATCGAAAGATTAGTCGAATCGCATCGTTTAGACTCGTAATGACCTTGGAATACTTGTCGCTCTATATTGCATTCGCATCTACCTCCGCAATATCAGCTGCCAGTTTAATTTCAAATTCTTGCGGCATCAAACCTTCGATGGTGATGTTGACGCAATCGATGATCTACTTTCGGCGATTCTGAAAAGCTTCTGTCAGTTCACTTTGATGTTTTTGTAGCGTACTGCCTAAACGAACCTTACTCGAACGGTCTATCAAAGATGTAGCACTAAATAAAAAAGAACCGCTAGAAATAAACGGAGCGGTGCGAAATTAATCACCGTGTAATTTGAACAAGATATAATACATCGATACTATTCAAATTTTTGAGGTTAATTATTTTTACAGACGTTTTTGAGGTTAACTGTGGAGCAGATCGAATGAGGTTAACTTCCTTAAACATTTATTTACAAATTAGTTAATTTTGCAGATGAAATCATTTATTTTTATAGATGAGATTAGTTATTTTTACAGATGAGATTAATTATTTTCACAGATGAGATTAATTATTTTTAAAACTGCACAGCTTTGGATTTTTTTTATAGAAGTATATTATGAAGGTTACTTTATTATTATTACTTTTCAATAACAATATTGAAGTTTGCATGCCAACATTTTTTCTTTTATCTGTGATGAAAATGTTAGAAGTTGAAGATCTTAAAGCAGATTTCAAATTATAATAATTATAATAATAATCACTATAATATTTGTAACAGTAGTGATTTATTATCTAAAAATAATGAAGCTATATGCATCGTAACATTTGATTAAATTTTGTGAAGATTTCTGTTAATTTATGTCTCAGCTCTTTGCAAAGTTATTAACAAAGCATGTTTTATAACAAGAGCTAAAAATAATAATATAGTTAACCTTATGATATTATAACGACCCAACATATGTTCATAAGAATTTATTACAGCCACAATAAAATTTAGCTCCTGTATTGAAATAAATTATGTCAGATTAAATTCACGTGAAACATTGAATGGCTAAACTTAATGAAATAGTCATATTAATGAAACTGGGAATTACTATAATTAATTTCCGCGTACGATTTCCAAGAATGAGCTATCTTAGAGGACGTCCGCAATTGTTTCGTATCACAACCGGTAACCATAAAGGTCTCATTCAGTTTGTGTACAGAGTGTTCCATATAATTACGACACTGCAACACCTTTAGTATTTACTCTATAAGTTCTGTATTCTTTTTAAAAAAATTCCTAGATGCATCAAGAATTATATTTTAGGAATTTATTCATTTTTAAAATTAAATATTTAAATACTTATCGTATATTTAATTTTTCAATTAAGTATTTAAATATTTTATGTGTATTCAATTTTTAGGGCCTCGAAAATTATTTATTGAAGAAATGTGCAACGATATCCAATATCCAAGCTTTCAAATTTCCAAGCTTTCAAATTTCCAAGCTTCCAAATTACCAAGCTTTTAAATTCCCAAGATTCCAAATTACCAAGCGTCCAAATTACCAAGCGTCCAAATTTCCAAGCTTTCAAATTTCCAAGCGTCCAAATTTCCAAAATTCCAAATTACCAAGCGTCCAAATTTCCAAGCTTCCAAATTTCCAAGCTTTCAAATTTCCAAGC